GGGCTTTAGAATATCGATACAGTATCAGGAAATGAAATATCGCGATTTCAGTGTATCGATATTTTCTTACACCCCTACTGGATATGTGTTCATATTTTAGTGTATTTATCCATTTGTCCATATTTATTATTTATTCGTTATGTACCAAATAGTTTTCGTCTTTTAATTTTGTCATTTTTGTTTATTTGTCCCCTCCTGACCTCATCTAAATCCTTCCAAGTCTTCCAACTCCTTTACCATTTTAGCCTGTGATCCCTCCCTTACTCTGATCCAAATGTTTCCGTTTCTTATCCAAGTCGCTGTTATCTTTTTCTGTTTTTTTAACAATCTTGCTTCACAGGCAATTTTTCCATGTTTTTTTGTTAAATGTTCATTTTTGTAAACATTTGTTCCCTTCAGTTTTTTAGCTTGCATGATTAAATTATTTCTTGCTTTTCTACTAATAAACCTGATAACAATGGATGGTTTAAATTTTTCAGATTTAGCAGGTAGAGTGTGAAAAATGCAAATGTCTTCAGGTTGAATGTGAATGTCTTTGTTTTGTAAAAAAGTCACTACTTGCTGCTCCAATGTTTTCAGTTGTTCTTGTGAGGAATCCTCTGTGGTGATTGTGTTTGCTGTAACCTATGCGTAGGATCTGTGTTTAATTTCAAGTCCAGTAATTACCAAGTCATCTCTTCGTGTGTATTGTTCCAGATCATCTACTCTTTTCTCTAATTCAGTTTTTTTTTTCTCTGTCAGTTATTGCAACTTTCAACAGCTTCACTTCTTCGACTAGATAATTCWCTTAGAGGGGGCACGCCCGGGATGTCCCCTGAGCTGTCCTACTTTTAATTACAAATCTTGACTTAAGTGTCCTCAGATTAATGTTTCTGTTAAATACAAATAACTCTTATTCTGAATATAAACTAAATAAAAACATGAATACATTGACATTTAACTACACTCTACACTTGGAAACAAAAAGGAAGTACAGTTTTAATTTGGATTCACCCACAATAAAATATTTTGGATAAATTTGACAAAAGACATGTCAAAACATTTTGAAATGAATCCTGGTCCTCCCACCAAAGAGATAAAACCAGATCAATGAGGAAAGTTGATCCTCCTGCTGGAGATGACTAACAGAATAGAAATAATTAAAATGAACGTGTTGCCATTTACCTCTTTCAGCCACTGCCCCTGGAGCTCCGCCCAGTTTGATGATTTGAATGGATGGATGATTAAGGGTGCAGTTTAAGGAAAAAYAAAGGGAGGGAGGACTCTACCACGCCTGCAGAGCCAATATTATACCACACAGTTAAAACCCTGATGAGGCAGACTGATATTCAACTACAATCGCTGTTAGAAACAAAAACCAAACAGAAAAGTATCATAAAAACATGTAAACTGTAAAAAATRTGGTTGAAGGTACGGAGAAAACTGAATCATGAGAAACAGGTCATTGCTTTAAACTGGGTAGCATACGACCCTGAGTTTAAACCTGCAAAATTAGACAAAGGCTTTAAATATTGGACCAGAAAATGCATCACGTGTTTGTGTTCACTTTCTTAAAATGGTACATTTCAGAGTTACAAGACTATCACTGACACATCTGGCCTTGGAAAACAGGACTTTTATAGATACTTRCAGGCTAGAGGTTACTTTAACACAGTACAAGGAAAGGAACATAACTTGATCTCTGTATTATATGAAGCGCATCAGAAAAGCAACAACAAAAAKCTGCTCTCTWGAATCTGTGGAGTCAGATGAGACGTGAATGGAGATATGTGAGACTAAAGCAGCTAAGATCACTGAGGGAGTTTGGAGGACAAAGGTTTTAAGAGTTTTTAAGTTTCCCAAATTAACAGCACTGCAGTCAGAGTCTGGGTCTGTGCTGGAGACAGTGTGGAGTCTCTGTGGCCAACCATTTTCATATCATATATGAGAACAAGATTTTTATCATTTTATCACCCATGATGTTTGAGTTTATTTGTTTGAAATTTGAAAAGTCAAAAATACAACGTAAAAAAAAAAAACCTGATGTTTGTGATGTTTCAGGATGAAGTTCCCACAGCCGAGCATCCTGCGAGGGTGAGTATCATCTTTAGGTTCTAGTTGTTGTGTTTGTGTTTGTGTTGACTCCCATCGGTCCGTTCCTGACTGCAGTCGGACTGACGTGGTTTCGGTGACGCCCTGGTTGGCTCCSGTGGTCTGGGAGGGAACCTTCAGTGCTGACTTCTTCGACGGCGTCTACTTGAAGAAGAACATCAGCGTRGCTGCCACRGTGTTCGCWGTGGGGAAGTAAGTGTGACGTCACGGCACCGCGTTTCCTGTGGGWTAAATCTTGTGCCAGCAGGAATTGAATTGCTCAGATTGAATCCAGTTTCAATTTAGTGAAATTAATTTTCAAACCAATGCATTCAATTCCAAATTATGAACATTCAGATTCAATCTGAGCAATTAAAATTCAATTCCTGATGGCACAAGATTTATTCCATAGTTTGCTGTCAGCGCCCACATGAGACTGACCCCGCCTTCCCGTTCAGGTACATCATGTTCCTGAAGGACTTCCTGGAGACAGCAGAGCAGCATTTCTTTGTGGGCTTCAGAGTGCACGTCTATGTGTTCACAGACCGCCCCAAAGAGGTGCCTGAGGTGAAGATGGCTGCAGGCAGGGAGGTGAGTCACGTCTTTACTCAACCAGCGCAGGGGATTCTGATGTTATCAGTCCATGAAATGTATGTTATTAGGTGTTATCAGTCCCATACAATGGCTTCAGAG